AAAAAATAAGTGATCATTTCAGATCTTTGGTGTCAAAAGCATTCAAGGAACAAGAATACGGTTGTTCGNCGGCAAACGATTAGAAATCAGCATGCGCTGTGAGTTGGACGGCAAACCAATCAGTGATCCAAAAAGGTTATTCCTCATCCTCTATTTAGTTTCAAATATTCTAAATTTCCAGACTAAACTTGCTTCTCAATCCAACACGGTGTCTAGTGACACTTGACAACAGCAGGAGTTTGTTCGATTACGGACTTCCATTTCATATAGATTTGGAGGCATCGAAATCAAAGTTTAATTTCCGGGGTCTCTCTTATTTTTCCTTGGCCGTGTAGTCCTCGTGGACAAACTACTACTGGTTTTCAGTGAATATTTTTTCCGAAGCTTGCAAAGCAATGACTTCTTTACTACCGCGAATCTTGCTGCGTCCGGTCCGAATCAGTGCGTCAAATTTCATTCGAATTACAAGGAACTTGGGAACAACTCAAAAATGTACGAAAATCCGGATTGCATGAAAACCAAGGAAATCTAATAAAGTAGTTTTCAGGTTGCATTGAAACAATACCATTGTCAAAAGTCAATAAAGATGACTTGGGTCACTCGATTCTGATTCATCAGGGTACTCTTCCACCTGGTTCGCCAAAAACTCCTCATGACGTCGTTGCAATGGGAGTGAAGGGAGCCAAGGTGTGTAGTTGTAGATCTCAGGAATGTGAAGAATTCAGAAAGCTGTTTAGATTCTTTCATTGTCATCGTCTGTTGCTGGAGCAGTGATGGTCCCGGTGTTATCCTCGTATTTGTGGGAAGCTGCTGCCGAAAAACCTACAATGATGATGTTTGCCATCGGTGAGGAGTTGAGCAGTTCTATCTCCAATTTATGAAATTTCAGTTGCCAACACTTTCCTTGTCCTGCTTTCCTTCACACCACTTCTCCTTCATTTTCTGGCAAAGCGTTTCCCAATTGATATTTTTTACAATAACGATAAAAAGGTTGAACAACTACACAGAGAGCTGTTAGAAAATTGAGTTTCAGTTGTATACGACCATTCATTACAATTTCCTGATGCAAAAACAAGCACTTCGATTCTCGGCTGCTGATGTTGTGGACGCGGCCATTGCTCCTGAGATGAAGAAAGTGTGGATTCCCTTGGCTACCGCATTCGTTGGAAAACGACCTCTTTTGATTTCACTGGATCGAAATGCGTATTTGGACAAGTTGGCCTTCGACGATCTCACTAAAAACGTGCACATCCCAGCCAATCATGATTGAAAATCGTCAATTTCGTTTAGGTTTTTATTATTTAGCAATTCAGTATCGACATTGTTATAGACTTGTTCGTTGTTTTAAAGTTTATTGATTTCATAATTTACTGTTGCAACAATTTTTTTTATCTGAGGATCGATTATTTCTCCTGTTATGTTTTTTAAAACAACATCAAATTTGTAGTCATCCAGGCCGCATTCTGACTCCGCATCGTCAATACCCTTCACGAATCGAAATCCCCGTTGCTGTCTGTGCTCTTCGATAGTCTCAACACGAACTGTGAGAGTTTTATAGTTCTAACGAAGAACTCGAGATCTGTTATTCGTCGGCAATCCGAAACGATTACAATGTCGCTATCATCTACAGAAAGAAGAGCAGCTCTGAAAATAACTTGATATTTATACATCCTGGGTTTAACTGATCGAAAACCTGCAAAATACTGAGGGAATTTTATTCCTGACATCTTCTCCCCATCGTATCATATCTTTTCTGAACTGCTCCTTGTACGGTCCATCTGTTAATAGTTCTGCGAAGTTCAGATCTAAAACGTGGATTTTAAACTTATTCGAATACTGATGACTGTTTTACTGTGAATCTTTGCGTATTCTTCCTTCAAACTGTGTGATATGCCGACAGCTGATACAGATAATTGTATCTTCTCGAATGCTTTTATTGAGTTATTGGTGCAGTAGTCTTTACCAGATTTCCGTTTCCCAGATATCGCTATTACAAACTTGTCCATTCAGACTGCAATCAATTTTTTTTTCTTGCCAGTGCTTGTCTTGCATCAACATGCGAGCAAAAATGTTCAGTTGGAAAATCCTCTATTTGCGAGTAAGTCGAACAGTTTTTACCTTTTTTTGAAGATTTATGAGTTAATTAAAAGTGGGACACAAATAAATTAAATCACAATAGAGGATTTCGAATGATTAAAACGAAACGACAAAAATGTGAAACTCTACATGAAAATTGGACGAGAGGGAGAAGTGCGTTCCGTGCTCCTCGTCGGCGGGGAGGGACGGCGGAAACATAGAAAAGAACAACCCGATATTTTTATAATTCACGAAGAATGAATTCTTAAGCTCCGACGATGATGTTGTTGATTGGGATGTGGATGAGCTTGACGAAGAATCCGATGAATCCCATAATGGCGAATCCGATAGCAGTGGCCATGGCGATCTTCTGGTACTCTGGAAAAAACAGAACATATGAATAGTTAGCATTTTATCATTCCAAAACTCACCCTTTCTGTCTGGCTTTGTGCATCTCTTGACTAGACGGTACGAGTCTTTTGAGAATTGGCGAGCTGGCTCAATCAAAGCTTGGAATTGATCCATGGTTCTTCTGCAACGAGTAAAATTTTAGAAGGATTCGTGGGATGAAACGAAGAGAATTTGACGAAAATTTCAGAACGCAACGAGGAAAAAATAACTGAAAATGAAGAAGACAACCAAGCACATGCGTATCAATGGTCGGAGAATATAAGGAGAGCGCAGTGATGTCGGGTGGCTGTCGACGAGAAATTGTCGCGGTGGAAATGTATTGACGGAAAGATGCGCAGACGCGCAAGAGAACTGCATTAGATGTGCAGGTTTGCTTGATGGCGGCAATTCAAATGCGAAAAAACAAATTTCGCCAAACTTTAGATGAACAAACAGTTCATATGAATCGTAAAATGAAAAGTATATTACACCACAGGGGCTACATGAAAGTCGTTGGAATATTGTAGAGAAATGAACATCTTCTTAAAAACTGTGCGAAAAAAAAATCATGAATTACAAAACGAAAATTGTTCGAAATCGTTAAAAAATGAATTGAATAATAAATTGAGTAATCTAATTTTTCTGAAAATTGTTACGAAAAGTTGAACAACTTGAAACATCAGCCTCCAGGTTTACAGTTCTTGCGCAGAGATCTAATGAGTTTTTCAGCTGAAGTAGTCAGACATTTTAACTCCGTATGGTCAGGATAAGAAAGTATTTCGTTCTTCAATTGAAATCCGTTGAATACATTCAGCCCCAGTTCATCTCGAATGTCCCATTCTTTCTCCGGTTTCCAGAAGTCGGTTGCGTATGCCATGGCGATCTTGAAAAACGAAACATTTTGCCCTGAAATACTTACATCGAAAGTTGTTTTGGCACGCTCCTCCTGCCAACATCACCAAAACATTTTGAAGAGGAAAATCAGACGATCGTGCCTCGATCTCTCATCATTTCTTCCTCAAAACCGGATCATCAGGAATGGCGATGTGAAGTAGTGTCTCATCTGACAGAGAAATTGAGGGATATATGCATAGATTTAGAGACTGCGAGAACTTGCCCAGTTTGAACGAATCGTCACGGATTGGATTCGAGGAGAGAGAGAAATCCCCCTCCTGGCCGTTTGTTTCCTCTCAAATACTTCAATTGACCAATCCTTATTCCGTATACTTTCCCTTCACGAATCGTTTTCAAATTTACATAAATGTTACGAGAATCCTTTGTCATCTACACCAACGTCCTCTTCAACTACTGAAACATTACACATGGTTTCACCTTTCACAGCTTCTCCATCTGTTTCTTCTTCTTCTTCTTCTTCTGCTGCTGCTTCGTCATCTACTTATTTCTTCAACTCGTCATCTACGTCTACCACCTCTCGCTTCCAATTTTGATTCTGAATCATTCGACGTCGTCATCGGCCGTGTAAATGGTGTTGCGTCTTTGCCGCTTCTTGACGCCATCGCTATCATCGTCGTCGGCTAGTGGCCGTTGCGCAAAACTTTTTCTTCTCCTCTTATCCGCTAATTCGATCTGACCGGGGTCTCAAATAAGATCGGTCTCGTTGCAGCCGCGCTCTACTGCTTCACTGTTACAACGAATTTTTTGCCACATCATTTTCCGTCGTTTCCAGCTTTGTTTCAACAATGTCTAACGGATTCTGGATGGATGATGGCCAACAACAGCAAGGTAACACTCACCTCAATTTAAATCCAAATCCTTTACCCCATTTGTTTCCAGGAGGATGGAATACGCAGACAAATCAACAAGACATGGGATGGGGGCAATTCGATTATTCACAGCATCAACAACCTCAGCAACGTAAGTGCTTGTGGTTTTGGATGTTACTTTTAAGTTAAAACGAATTTACAGCTGCTGGAAACGACTACTACCAACAGAACCAGCAGCAATATCAACAACCACAGAACAATTACTATGGAGGTCAAATGTTTATGCCAAATACTGGAACTGGAGGTAAATTAAGAAAATACATGCAGGAAGAAACTAACTTTTAAGTATATTTATAGCCTTACCAAATCCAGCAGCTGACGGAGAAGATTATGAGAATGAGCCTCCATTGTTGGAAGAACTTGGCATCAACTTCTCACACATCAAAGAGAAGACTATCGCAGTTCTTAACCCAACTGGATCAGCCACCGTTGAAGTGATTGCCGATCAAGATCTTGCAGGACCACTCGTATTCTGTCTTCTTTTCGGAGCAGCTCTCCTATTACACGGAAAACTCTCCTTTGGTTTCATTTATGGAGTTGGAGGACTTGGATGTGTTGGAATTTACGCCCTCATGAATCTGATGGCTACCGATGAGAAGAATATTTCTTTCACGTGTACAGCATCTGTTCTTGGATACTGCCTCTTACCAATGGCTCTTCTTAGTATTGTGACGGCAGTTTTATCATTCAAGGTGCGTTCCAAAATTCGTTTTTATATAGTATAAATCATAACGGTTAAATTTTCAGGGAATCGTCGGTTATCTCATATCTAGTCTCGCTGTCTTGTGGTGCTCTTCAGCTTCGTCAAAGCTGTTCGTTATCGCTCTATCCATGGATCACCAACGACTACTAGTAGCCTATCCATGTGTTCTTCTCTACTCCGTATTCGCTCTTCTTGCCATTTTCTAACATAATTTCCCGAATGTGAATAGTAAAAATAACTGAGTAATTTATTTTCTTGTTTCCAAATTTCGTGCCTTTTTCTCTTCATATTATCATGAATCTCGATATATTTATATACACCTTGTGTCTATATTTGTTTTAATGTTTTTCGGAGCATTAGTGATATTTCTCAACAGGCTAGGAGTTCAATCCAAACATGTTCTAACCAGATGAGCTTGAAAATCGAAAAACCACAGAAAGAAGAAGTTTGGAACATCAAGCCATTGCCCGGATATGTTTGCAAATGGAAAGATATTAAAGTCGATGGAGGATTCTCCGAAGAGTTCCGGAAATGCTTCGTAAATGTCTGCCATTGCGAAGAGCTTCCACCGCCTTTGGAAGATTTGGAACAGGTAAAAATTCATTTTCGTGAATTCTTCGAATAAAGTTTTGTTCTCAGGACGAGATCGCAGCTCAATTAGACGCTGGAAACCCATCGTTTCGAATTCCAATGAGCGTCGGTGAAATGGACTGTGTTAGAGACCATAGTAATGAAAACTCAGTGAAGGTGATTGTATTAAAGTTGACAGATGTATTATTTTGTGATATAGATCGATGTCCTCATCAATAGCACATTCTATAAAAAACGACTAGCTTCCGCCGATGATGTGTTCTTCCGACACCTCCTAGCCCTGATTTTCTGTGATCTCATCAAGAGTCGAGTAAGTGAAAGTTGATATATTTAATATGAAAAATTGTGGTTTTCAGCATGGAATCGATCTCGATCCTCTGAAACCAATCATTCTTCGTAACCGTGTGGCTGTTGGCGATTTAGAAGTACAACGAATCAATAAGAAACCGGAACAACGCGTTGTTGAAGAACTCTATCACAAAGACTCGGCAAAAATGAAAGAAGCAACAGAGGATCACCAGAAAGATTATCATATCCAGGAACTTAATGAGCTGAAACAAGAAGTGAGTTCGTATATTCTCATTCAACAAAAAATAAGTGATCATTACAGATCTTTGGTGTCAAAAGCATTCAAGGAACAAGAATACGGTTGTTCGACGGCAAACGATTAGAAATCAGCATGCGCTGTGAGTTGGACGGCAAACCAATCAGTGATCCAAAAAGGTTATTCCTCATCCTCTATTTAGTTTCAAATATTCTAAATTTCCAGACTAAACTTGCTTCTCAATCCAACACGGTGTCTAGTGACACTTGACAACAGCAGGAGTTTGTTCGATTACGGACTTCCATTTCATATAGATTTGGAGACATCGAAATCAAAGTTTAATCACGAGAAGTCCTCCCTGGTCATATCAGCTAACATCGCTCTTTGAAAACTAACAAATCAGATCTCCCCATCATCTTGATTCTACATGTTTCTCACTTTGCCCTGTTCTCTTCTTTTGTTACTAGATTTGTTACGCGTCCGTAATAAATCCATTGTTTTTTTCTTCGAGGTTCAAACGCAACATATATGTTAACATATTGAAGCTATTGAAATCCAGATTCCTCCAGAAACTGTATTCATAGACTCGATCTGATAATTCGGCGAACAAACGCGTGAAGGAACCAATAATCAAGAGTCACATTCTGTTTATCGTCCTTGGATCTGTGGATTCTGAATAACAATGTGATTTCACATCGCTTTTTTTAATGTTATTTCAAATACAAAGTTGTTTTATCGTTATCATTGCAACTAGGACCGAGAGCCAAACTTCTCAAATTCAAGTCAAATTATCTTTATTGAGTACTGTGTTCGACCTGAAAATAAGTTCTCAGCATAGAAATCGGTTTTTTTTCTTCTTATTCCACCCATCCATCTTTGTCCTTCATCACGTGTAAAGCAACACAAATTTCAGTTGCTTCTCGTGCTGCGTCTCCTTCCGTTTTCCCGTTGTCTATGCTTCTTTGAACTCCCCGGGTTTTGCCCGTTTTTTGAGTGTATATGTTTGTCACATCAGAGTCCAGTTCTACAACTGCGATCAAGACAACTTCCACCTGTTTTAACAAGAAAAAAAAGAAGAGAAGACATTGTACCGAATTGTGTCAGTTGTGTTCTAGTCGATTACTCTTCAATTCCTTTTTCTCCTAGATTAGAATTGATTACTATTTTCTTGTTACAATTTCAGAAATGCGGCGAGTTTTCAGTACACAAGCCATTCAAAATGCCATTGAAAAATCGTTGCCAGATTTTCAAAAGATTGCTGGTAGTTCTGGAGTGAGAACTCAAGAATCTGTGAGAAGACAGTTTGCCCGGGATGAAAGCCACTTTGTGTGAGTTTCCATTCTGTTGACTAGTTGAATCCCAAACGGGAAACGGCTTTATTATGTAGTTAAAACCATATTTAAACGTCTTTTGTATAGAGATCTGGGATGAGCTCTATATGATTTACGTGTAATTCAAAATCTTCTCTCTCTTGTTGTAAGTTTTCTCTTGTGGTAACACTCCGCGTCTGTCAAATTGATCTTTGACAACAGCTGAGCCAGAGTAAGGATAGGATTTGGATTTTGGAGAATACAAAGATCGAATTGTAGCAGTTATGAGATTGAACGTTGATGCTGGTTTTAAATAGAAAATTTGGAAAATTAATATATCTCACTTATTGTCGGAATTATAAAACTGCGACCTCGGTGGATGCAGACTCAGTGCAAAACACTCTGCGTTTTGTATTGGATCTGCATACACCGAGGTCGCAGTTTTTTGTTCCGACAATACCAAACTAAAAATATATAAAGTAATACCAGTCAGTAAGATATACAAAAAGAAACCTATTTTCAGTTGATTTTTGGCCATTATGACCATTTTCAAAAGTCTGAAGCTCGGCTGTCAGGTTTGCAATCATTTTGTAAATTTTGGAAGGTGTAACACATACCTAGATTGAAAACTTTGCATTTACAGAATTTTTTGAAAATATATAGTGTTCCAGCTATTTGCAGATTACTGAAAGACATCCCTCTTGGCCCGTTTTTGTACTGAAAACGGGAAAAAAACGGGTGTCTGTTATGAATCGGAAAGTAGCTGAAAAACTAGGAATCTACGAAAAATGCTGTGAATGCAAAGTTTTCAATCCCGTATTTTTACACCCTCCAATATTTTCAAAGTTATCGGATACTTGACAGCCGAAATCCAGACTCCTGAAGTTGGTCAAAATTGCCTACAATCAACTAATATAATGAAACCAGACCTTTCCAGAGCCCCGCCACCCGCCGTCGTATTGGAACCAACAAACGTCGAACAGGTTTCTCAACTTCTGAAATTATGCAACGATCGAAATATCCCAGTGGTCCCATTTGGAACTGGAACTGGACTTGAAGGTGGATCCATGTCAATTCTAGGTGGAGTATGTCTCAGTACCCAGCAAGTAGTTGGAGAGCCAACACTTCGTGAGCAGGACTTCGTATGCTCTGTGAAACCTTCCACCACAAGAATTGCTCTGAATGATTCCATCAAGCACTCTGGATTGTTTTTCCCAGTTGGTTTGTGGAGTCTCTGATAACCTAAAATTGAAATTTCAAATTTTAGATCCTGGAGCAGACGCATCAGTTTGTGGAATGGTAGCGACAAGCGCTAGTGGAACGAATGCAATCCGTTATGGTACTATGAAAGAGAATGTAGTGAATTTGGAAGTTGTGTTGGCAGATGGAACTGTGATTGATACAAAGGGAAAAGGAAGGTGTCCTAGGTAATTTTTTCAAAATTGTGGTTTCCCTATAGGAAGAGATTTTTTCAGAAAATCATCAGCTGGTTTCAACTTCACAGAACTTTTTGTTGGATCTGAAGGCACATTAGGAGTCATTACACAGGCGACAGTGAAGTAGGAAATAAAAAATACTTAGTTCCAAAAGTTAATTATTCAGAGTGCATCCTCGCCCTCAATTCCTCTCTGCTGCAGTCAGTTCTTTTTCTTCCGTTCATCAAGCAGCCTCCACTGTAGTCGAAGCTCTCCAATGGAGCATTCCTGTGGCTAGAATAGAACTTTTGGACGATGTACAGATTAAAGCATGCAACGCATACAGCGGTCTGACTCTCCGAGAAGCCCCAACTCTTTTCATTGAATTTCATGGAAGTTCGGAAAAAGAAGTGGCCGATCAGACAACTGCTGTGGAAGAAATTTGTAAGAGTCATGAAGCATTGGATTTTGATTCTGGAGCATCTCCGGATAAAATGGCTATTTTGTGGAAAGCTAGACATAACGCTTATTATGCAGCATTATCAATGAGAACTGGGGCAAGAGTGAGTCAAATCTAAAACTATTTATTAAAGTAATCAGTTTTTTCAGGGGTTCACTACGGATGTTTGTGTTCCAATTTCCAAATTGGCCGACGTTATTTCAGAAACAAGAGCTGATTTAGATGAGCATGGCATACATGGTACAGTTGTTGGACATGTTGGAGATGGGAACTTCCATGTTATTCTACCAACAATCGAGGAAGACAAATCAGAACATCGAAAGATCCAATCGTTTTCTGACCGTTTAGTGAGACGAGCCCTAGCAGCAGACGGAACATGCACTGGTGAACATGGTATTGGATTGGGAAAGAGGAAATATTTGAGAGAAGAACTAGGAGAGAATACTGTCAGATTGATGCATACAGTAAAGAAGGCGTTGGATCCAAGAAACATTATGAATCCAGGAAAAGTTCTTCCAGAACTGTAGATGTAAACATGTTATCTATTGTATAAATGAACACTGATAAAATATTATTCTTGCTCGAAACTTTTCCATTTTACACTTTGAAACTTTAAATTTGTTCCCCTAGTACGGCTCTATTACGTAGCCTACTATTCCGTCCGGATCTATCTAGATTTGGATAGATTATAAACTTATTTACAAAACTGGTTTTCCTTCCAAATAAAGCACTCAAACTAATGAAAATAAAAAAAGGGGCTCCAGAAATCAAATATTCTCTGATAATCTTCTCAGTTCTCCTTGTTAGACCAAAAAGAAGAAACATTTTGCTCTTACGTAAGAAGATTTTTGTTTGAGTTGCCTACCGGCACGGATACCTACCAGCACGGCTTTAAGAAGAAGTTCCCATCGGCTGGGAGGATTATAAATTATTGGGTCGGATGAGGCACTCAATGATAGTTTACAACTGAAGGTACGGTTGTAAAACCCACCCACCTTGTCCTTTTATATTGTCACACTCCACTTGTTTTCTGGTAGGCGGAAGTGCCTGTTAAAGTGCAATAATTCTAGATAAGAGAGTTAACAAATTCCCTCTTTTATGATCGGATTCCCAAGTGATTATTTTTAGCCACGCCCCCTATCCTCGGCTGATAAAAAGTGCTCAAAGCATCTTATTTCAGTGTATTAAATCATGCAGCCACTAGTAGCTGTCGTTTTCTTTCTATTTCTTCTCATAGGATCTTCCCAATCAGCTCCATTGTTCAAAGGTAAGCCCCATTGTTTTATTACATTCTAAAAATAACCAGAGTGTTTTTTTTCAGACATCGACTACAAACTATTTGATAACACTGCCGATAATGGTGTCGCAATTGATTCGATATTCGAATTCGTTCCTGAAACTTCGACAGATAACAAAAAACGTCCACATCGAAGATCTACCAAACATCACTGAGAAAATGTTTTTATTGCTTTATCCGCTGTGATTTTATAAAATTTATGAATACTCGGTTTCTTCTTATCACAACTTCCATCACTTTGTTATTTGTATCTCTCCCACTACGTTATCTCTGTACCACTAATGTTTTAAAGTAAAAATATTTATACCAAACATTTAATGAATTTATGAGATCTTTCTAGCCAAGCACAGATAAAATAAAAATATTACAACATTCTCTTCGCAAACTGATTTCTTCTATGTCGGAGTGCCCGCATGATCCTCTTCTGCTTCAGGAAGTTCTCATACAGTGCCACTTTTGCGGCATTCATTCCTGGTGGTCCATACGAGAAATCAGGTGGAGGAGTGGCTGATGGAGCTCCGATCATATCAGAAATCGGCTCTTGAAGCATTGGTGGGGCAGACGGGGGTGTTGGACCGTTTCGGAGAACTATCAATGGAACAGTCATTATTTCTTCAACAAGTGAAGATTCAGAGGTTGTAGTCGTGGGAGTTTCTGTTGTTGTTGGCTCTTCAGTAGTAGTTGTAGTAGGAGATGTGGTGGTTGTGAGAACTACTGGAACAGCTTCATAGAGTCTTTTTGGTGGTTGAAGTTCGAATCGACGAAGTTTTGTTCTTGGGCACTCCTCTGGAAGAACACAAAGACGTAGGGAACTTCTTACGAATCCATTTCTACAAGTGCATCCAGGTTCACAGTTTTCACATATCTAAAATCACAATTAGAAGGAAAAAGTGTATTGATTATGAAAGCTTACTGGATTTGGATTGTTGCAAGTGGGTTCGCAAGCACAATGAGAGAATGATTGAAACATTGGACAGTGTTCTGAAAATTAATTTCAATGAAATTAGAGACAAATTCTTGTTGATACCTGGATTGTTCAATCGTGTCGTATCATTGGATTTCAATCTTTGGATAATCAATGATAATCTATGCTTATTTACTTTTGGAGTCTTCAATGATCGAAACGCTTTATGATGAAGTTCATGGGGTACTGTAGGTAAAACAAGAAGAAATGGTAGGATTAGGTAAAGAGGTGACATCTGAAAACGAATATAATGGAAAGGAAGAACGAATAAATATATGGAACGGATTCTACGAATGAATTGGCAAGGTGCGAATATTAATCGGAAAGGAATGATGTTGATGGGCAATTGCGATAAAATTATGAGATATATAAAATTTAAGAGACGGACACTGTTCTACATTCCTACTAGCTGAAACCTACAGTATCCAATGTAGCTGTCCTTTAATAGTCTCGAAAAGATTCAGATCTCAAAAGATAGTACAGTATGGTGAGACCAGTGTCTAAATGTATTATTACAAGATTTCTAAGAAACAAGTGAACATGATTCGGAGACGCAGACGGAAGCCGTTTGTGGAACCGAATTGAGAATGGAAAGTGAATGAAAAACGTGACGAACGAGACGGCGTCGCGGAAGGCTAAGAACGCAACAAGGTGGTCATCTGTACAGAATTAATTGATATCGAAAGGGATGGAAATGGGTGTGTATGGAACACAATGAAAAGAACAACCAAGTGATGTAATGGAAAGATTTGATAAGGGTTGAGAAGGAGTGAAAAAGCTGATCAGAAGAAAAGGGAATCGTACTGGACAAAAGCGAATCGAGGGAAAAAAAAAATGAGGTGAAACGATCGTATACAAGGATTATGTGGGTCGGAGTATTATGTTTGAAGAAAGCGAATCTGAATTTTCATAAAAGCTTTTTTTCGTTCCATTATTTTGACTGCTTTGGTATTTCTCCATGAAATCGATTTATCCAAATAAAGTTTTATTTGATACACATACAACATTGATTCATTTGGAAGATTTAGTTTAGGCATCCGAGAAATTCTTCAGGCTGGATTCACTTATTCTCTACCGGCAACCCGTACTGTTTGCTTTTCATTTCATTCAAAGATCACACATGCTGAAATTCGTCACTTTGCCAGTTATTTCATTTCTAAACTCACCTTGCAATTCCAATATTAACTTCATAAGCTACTATCACTCGTGCCGTGTCAAAACTTTGGAATGATTCAAAGTCTTTCTTAAAAGTGAACATCTTTTTCAGCATTAATGTTTTCTGAAATTTAAGTTTTTCCTATAGTCTTAAAAAAATTCGAAAATAACCTCTCCACTGAAGCCAGTGATATTAGCAAAGCCAGTGAGCTCGACTCCTCGAAGTTCTTTCTTCCTGGAACTTTTTCGTCATCAGTGAATCCAAAATATAACGTACGTATTCAGTGCATAATCATAGAAAAAAGAATAGTCCTCAGTTTCGAATGATCGAACACATTTTTTACTATTCACTTCCTTTCCAAACTTTGATCTCAATTGATTCAAAAAATTCTTCTCAGATTCCTCTGGATATTCTGATTTTAGATTCTGAAAACGGAATATAATAAAAAACCATTAAACCTCAGAAAACAACATACCATATTCATACAAACGCACGAAATCGCTGAAATCCCTTCAGATGCACAGTTTCGCCACGTTGGTTGAACTTTGAACGGAGTAGTGCTGATAACGGCATAAGGATCCATTAGCTCAATCAACATGCTATTGAAATTTAAGGATGATAGTAGCCTTGGAAAATGAAACATTAAACCATAAGTTTTAGGATATAAATTACCTGTTGAAGTTCATTTTCATGAAATAATGTTTTTCTTGGTAGTTCTTCATAAATTTATCTGATAATCTGACTGCGAATAGTGGATTTTTCTCATTCTCAGTTTCGACATCCCTGAAATCTAGATATTTTCTTACTACTTACTCGAAAGCGCTCACTTACTTTTCTGATAAGCCATAAGACGTCACAATAAGAGTAGTATTTTCAAAAATCTTCGAATCGTTTAGAGAATTCAACATTTCATTCAACTCATGATCGATTGAACTTTTGTGTGGTCCATAATCATCCAAAAACAAAGTGGAAAATGTTTTTGAATCACTCGTTGATGTTAGGAACGCGTTCATTTTCTCTAGTTGATCGCTAAGAAGGTTCTGGAAATCGTTGTTTTTATATAATTCAACTTCTTGGCTTACTCTGCCATCTTTAAGGCACGAACGCTCGTCTACCAAAAATTGTTGTATGAAGTTTTGATGATCCGTTGTATCGAAATCTGGATCAATTAAATCTCGAATCAGTTTTGGCCCAGAGAAAAATGTTGTGAATTTGTGTTCCTTTGCTTTGTCGAACACATTTTGAGTCTCAGAATTGAGTCCCAGTTGTAGAAGAAGATCATTCAGTGGCTTTGGTTCTTTCTGAAAACATTTTAATCTTTTCAATATTTTTCAAATTCCAACTTGCCTTGGTCATAATTTGAGCAAATTCAAACTTATTATTTTTCATGAAATGTTTACTTTTCGGCATTTTCTTCATGAAGAGTTTGTGATTCATTGTTGGGAGGAATATTACAGCAATCGATTCGCCTTGTGGTTGCTAAAATTGAAATTTTACAGATTGTTTTTTCTTCAATTTTCATACCTTTGGAATCAGAGCGAAATTCACAAATGGCTTCAAAAACTTTACAATTTCGTTTTGAACACAGGAAAATGCGAAATTGTAAAACGGAACTTTCACAGGCACGTCTTTTGTAACCTGAATTTTAGAACTATTGATTCTCAAACCTAGGTATTTACCTCGAAAGATTGATCCGATGTTCCACTATGCTTGTAGTAGGTGCATCCAAAAAATGTTTCGAAAAACTGTTTTGGTTAATTCAAAATACAACTTACTTGATGGAATCTGTGGACGAATCAACATTCGTTTTTGATTTGAAGGTTAATGTTCCATCGGAAGTCAGATTGACACTTTTGTTCAATTCATTGAAAATGCAGTCGCTTCTAAAGAAGTAATTCTGACATTGATCTTTTTTAGAATAAAACGTACCTTACAGGTTTTCTATTCTCATCAAGCAATTCATAGACTTTATCGTCTTCGTTTGGAAAGAATATGTAAGGAATCTTACAGGCGTTTGTAAGCAACTCTCTTATCTCTGAAACTGAATCTTCTCGGAGCCAAGAATCATTGCTCACCAATCAAAGAATACACAAAGTCAGGTTTCAAATTCAATCCGCCTTCTTTATCAAACTCATTGTTAGTTCTTGATTGTCGACTGATAATAATAGTGAAGATGAGCAAGAAAAAGGTAAAAAACATCAAAATCATACTACTCGGAAATATACTTTGTTTGTGTTTAACAGTGAAAGACATATTTGATGCAGACTATGTGGTCAAGGAAATGGAATGGATGAACACTTTTGTGGTGTATCCAGCATCTTCTGCGGCATGAACTGGTTTTTGTAACAAGTAAATACCAGATCTGATCATTTGATGACATAGGGATATAAAAACAGTGAATACATAAACTTTTGACTAGCCATACATTCATTATAGGTTTTATTTTCAGGAAATTACTCGAATTCAGTTTATGTTATTGAAGTTCATATTTATTCAAGTTCAAAGATAAAAATGGAGCAGTATGAATTTGACCAATTGATGAAACTTCTTCTACCGTCTAGTCAACATCACAGGAATTCCGTTTGATGGTCTTGAAATAATCTAAAAATGAAATCTTTAATGAATAAAAATCATTCTTCATACCTCCAAACTCGGCTGAGTGCCATTAAAATCTAGCATCGGTTCGATACGATAGTTTCTCAACATGTGAATCAGCAAAACTTTTTCGTTAAGTTGAGCAAACTTCTGCCCAACACAGTTACGAAGCCCAGCTGAGAAAGGGATGTAGTCGTAGGCATTTCTTTAGCTACTGATATGTTCACGCCGGCTGGTATCATGTGACCACCTAAAATATAATTATTGTCTAAAATTAGTTCGAAATCTTCACTAACCAATCTCCATATCCTCTCTCAGCTTTCGTTGTAAAGTAGGAACTGGTGCAATCCGTCTCTTAGATTCCTTCAATACTCTTTCCGTATAGTCCAGCTTCTTGATGCCTTCAGAATCTACATCTCCGTTCGGATCATCTCCAAAAATCTCAATTATTTCCTTGTACACTTTTTCCTGAATATCTTGATTATGTGCCATATTCCAACACATCCATGAGAACGATGCAGCAGTTGTATCGTGTCCAGCGAACATGAAAGTGTCTACTTCCTCTCGAATATCTTCTCACTCCAATCCTTTGTCTCTTTGCTGCATAAAAGAATATCCAAAAAGTTCATATCTCTCTTCGAAGCATGATTCTCGATATGGCCTAACTTCAAACCTGTCATTCTTCCAGCAGTTACATCTCTTGTAAACTTTTTCATTGTGTAAACATAATCATCTTTCTTTTTCTGATAACCCAACAACCAGAAGAGGAAAGGAATCTGTAGATGGGCTTTCATCGAATGATCAACCTGCATTGAAAAGTTTGTGTTCAAAATTATTAGTAAAAATACCGATAGTTTATTGAATCTTTCTACTGCCAACACATACGAATGGGTTGGATTGTGCTGTGCATCGATAGTGGTTCCCATTGCTGTCCCACAAATGATATCTAATGTGCAACGTTTGATGTAATGGAACAAATCAACTGTCTCTCCAGATTTTGCAAACTCATCCAGAAGTTCAACCATCACCTATAAAATATATCAAAACTCGATCATAGTTGTTATTCTCACCTTTGTCTCTCTATTGAACACTCCCAGGTATCCTTCCAGTTTTGCAAAATGGAATGTTGGAGTGACAAGTCTTCTATGGCTTTTCCATCTTTCTCCATACCCATCCAGAAGGACACTCCTCCCAAGCCATGCCCTTGCAAATTCATAATCGTCTCCTTTATCCAGCTCTGTTGTTGATTGAAGTAACGTTTGTGCGGATTTTCCATCCAAAGGAAAAACGAGAAGTTTTCCAATAAACTGGAATCTCATTATACTCTCTCCACTGTCTCTTAACTCATTTGCAGTTTTTATCATGTAGTCCAGCATTTCTGAAAATATAATTTTTTAAATTCAATATTTAAAAAAAAATTCATACCAATTTTGCTCATTTTGGCAAATGAACTAATATTCCCAATAAATGGCTGTGTTGTTGGACCAGGAAGTTTGTCACTGAACTCAAACACTTTCAAAATCCATTTTATTCTTTTGGAACACATTACAAAAATTATTGCAAGTACTCCTAGAAGAATAGGAATCAAAAGAGCCATAATTACACGAACGTAGTTGAATCAAGAAAACTCTGGCTTTTATACCAGTGACAGGTCACATTGACTAAAAACTTGAACCGCATAAAATTGTGTCGATTGTAGCCACCTTGTAGTTTCCTCTGACCACTTCAATGGGTTGAGAAACAACTGATAAGATTAACAAGATTGAAAAAATTGGTCATTGTGTTCTTTTTTTTCACTTTCCCTGTCTTGATTTTTAGTTAATACTTGTTTTCGATTATCGAAATTGTTTGACGAGGAACATAAAAAATAAATGTACATTTTTATTGAATTGAAATGAAATGGTTTCATGCTGAAAGACATTTGCGTTTGCACCGGGCGAACTTTTTCAGAATCAAGAATTTATTCATCGTCGATATTCTCCATTGTGAACGGAGCAATCCAGGGATGAGAAACAATTTGGGAGGCAAGTGGACGACGTTCTTCGTTCTTATTCATAAGACGAGATACAAGATCTTTGGCTCCTGAAATTTAATTTGTTAACTTTATTAGTAAAAAACAGACAACAAACTCACTCATAGAGACTCCTTTCCATTCTGGCATATCCATATTTGGTTTTGCTTGCAATATCAGTTTGAACAACCGGGATTGATCTGGGGCACGAAATGGAGCATATCCAACGAGCATCACGTAGAGAACAACTCCAAGGGACCATATATCACATCTGGTTGAGTATCCAGTCTCTCGAAGAACTTCTGGAGCACAATATGTAGGTGTTCCACATATACGATATAGAGGTCCAAGGACATGGCAAGCCAATCCGAAATCACAGAGTTTCACACTGAACTTGTCGACGAGAAGCAGATTTTCAGGTTTGACATCTCGATGAACAACGTTCCGCTCGTGCAAATAAGTGAGAGCAGATGCCACTTGCAGAGTTATCATTGCAGCATCTGATTCTTCGATTCTCCCATTTTTACGAATGGTTTCATAAAGATCTCCATACTGAAATATTTTTTAATATATTGACTAGAAAATTGGGTCTATAGATCAACCTGTGCGTGCTCGAAAACAATGAAATACTGATTATCAGTACTGAATGCGTCGATTATTGAGATTATGTGATCATGTTGAATTAGAGAAAGCATCTCGACTTCATTGTCCACAAAGAAGCATTTCCCGCGCATTGCTCGTTTTTCGACTTGCTGAAAAGAAGGACCAACAATTATTTAAGAATAGGCAAGGAAATGAAAATTGTCGTGTTGACTGGTACTGAACCTTGAGCGCGCACTTGGTGCCATCCTCCTTGCGTCTCGTCAGATGCACACTCGAGAAGTTTCCTTTGCCGATAACAGCGCCAATCTCGTATTGCTTTTCGATTTCTTGACGTCCGTCAACATGCTGAATCCATTTGGAGACCTAAATGAGAAATAGAAAGTTGAAAAAGAAAGTGAGACAACATAGCGCCCGATTCCATTAGTGACATGATCTGTTGCCTAACTATCCGGAATACACTATTACTTATCCATATAGCTAAACCCACAAGAATAGACGACGTCCCGACATAATATTATTGTTGTGGCAGATGTAAAAGGAATTAGACAAGGTCTTTGGGTTCAAAAACATCTTCCAGAAGTGTTCGTTTAAATGTGAGAACAGGTGAGAAACCCTGCTGAATAGGTCACGGAAGACAAGCGCAATGAGGTGTATGATTTCTTCCGCATGGATTTCGTAAGTTAGCTAATTCAGGTTTTCATTTACTCTGAAAGAAGCTTATGTGGAAATTGAATGGATATGAAAAACACTGAACTTAATGGGTATCTTTGTCTGATTTAGAAAAAAAGTTCTGAATAATCAAAGGCCTGTCTAAAAACTAGTAGAACACGAACTAATGAGAAACCATTTCAATTTTGGCCATTAATTGACCATTCCTTTTCAGCATCTGATCGATGATTCTGAACATCTCGAACGATCTTTTCAGACACGTTTTCTTATTGTTCGATGAGTCAAACTACTCTACCCTATAAGCTTATACACAATATATTCCTATTGGGACCATTTCCGGTGACTCCCCCTTATTTTTTTCTCCTTTCATATTTCCGTACTAGTCTTCGTACCAGGGTCTATGATGCAATAACAGAAACATCTGGAGACACAACCCTGCACAAAAAAGTAATAGGTAAAAGTAAAAAGAAAAAAAGAAGAAAAAACGAGTGGACGGAAATGGAATGGACATTCAGAAAGTGCACATATATACGAAAAGTGTATAGTTGTACTTATCCCCCATTATGAATGTAAGAATAGGGGTCTCGTGGAGGAGGATCAGATGACTCACTCCAAAAAAACCTTCGTTGACGTGGCGAGACGAAGTATGGACCATTCTGGGTTGCTTTTCGACTTCTCGTGATGCGTAGTTATTGTTTCGATCAAGGGAGACTCCTGAAACAGAAACTATTCTCAGATCCCATGTGTTCTAGAACTCACCCTTGCGATGTCTTTTATCGTAGAGTACGGTAACGGAACTGGAGCGAGCTCTCATCGTTTTCTTTCCGACGGGTATTGAAAAAGGGTTACAATCTGAAAAATCGGAAATAACAATCAGATACGATTATTTGTTAGTTTTGATAACCACAGGTAATAATAATCAAGAAGACTATTGAAAAAATAATTGACAGCGACAATAACAAAAAACGACAATAGTGAGAACTAGGGACTATAGCTTTGGGACCAAAGACTCGAATTCAAAACGAGCTTGTTCAGAACACAAAATAGGAAATGAGTTTCGGAAAGAAAAAAGAAAATGACAAGAAGAAGAAGTAGGAGAAACCTTTTCCGAAGAGTACGGAAGACGCGGAGAGTGTCCGCTTCAAGTTACCACGGGAAACCAACAAGAGTGGACACTGGGCACTTTTTCTTTTGGAAATGACGACGGACAAAATAGGGGGCGGGGACAAGAGGTGACCACACCAGAAAAAGAAATGTGGTACAAGAGGAAACTACTGCAGTAGCTGCTGCTTCTTTTGCTTCTTCGTCTGCAACTGAAAGAGAATTACTATAGTAGTAGGGGAAGACAAGAATAAAGGGAAGAATAAGAAGGCTATGAGATGGGAGGAATGATGGGTGGAGGAAGAGGCGGAGCCTATGCGGATAATTGTATTTGGGTGGGAAATGAGAAAATAGGTGGATGGTGTGGAGATATGAAACGGTTGACAGAAAGATATGTATGATTGGATGGGCAACATGTTGAGAAGAGGAAAAATTGTCCAAAATGTAAAATTTAATATTATCCGGGTAATTTGAAAATCAAAAAAAAGTCAAATTTTGAAGGTCGATTCCAAAATTATGAAAATATGGAAATGTTTAGCCGATTTCAACTTGTTTTTCTTTCACTTTTTCAGATACCGTAAAACCTGTAATATTTAGAAGGGCCCCTACACTGCCCAGTTTGACATGATTTCCCTTGCCTCCTAGGCAAGATATCAAAATGTGTTAACTGGTAGACTGTTTATCATAATATCACTAACATTCTATCAGGTGACATATTTTTATATCTTTCATAGAAATTGAGATAGTCGAGCTCAGACTTGAATGTGTGTCTGGCTCTTCTATTCCAGGTATTACTGTTGTCATTAGTTATCTTTTCAAACTTAAAATATGCGTATATGAGTTTTTTGGGAGTTTCTGAGAATTCTATTATATCTTTGTCAACGCAGTCCATAATCGCCAATTATGTAGATTTAGCTCTATTGATTTTCACGTTTCAACGTATTCTAGTCGGAATTTGGAATCACCAAAATGGGTTATCCAAAAAGAACAATTCTATTAGAGATTTGGAGCTGATGAGAAACGGATAAATCGAAATCCACCCACTATTTTGTTTCATACCTCCTCCACTTTGTCAGAAATTTAATTTCACCTGTCTATGCATTTTTACGACCAAAGCGCAAAAATGTATACTGATATTCATGTCTTTCGTAGGCTCAATTTTCTTCCTAGAACAGACATCCTCAACCAAAAGTTGAAAATTCTAAAAATTAACTTTGAATTGAAACATTTTTCTCTCAATCGTCACCATATCTGGTCGTATTGGACCAACCTGAACTCTGCAAATGATCTTTGCGCTTTTTTCAGATGAGATTTTTTTCAAAATTTCATGTTTGTACACTTTCAACGCTATATATGTGGGGTATATGTTAGACAGTGTACAAAGTTCCACTTTCGATGCCATGTATTAAGCAGCAGGTGTGAACACATTGAGATAGCCGACACAGACTCTATTCTGTCAATTTTTATTACATGGGACTGTCTGGGATCCAGATTTGCAGATAATTTTTTTTCCGGTGAAGATTTCTATTCACGTCTCATTGTATCACAGATCATATTCCTGAAGCTCCTCCATAGCTTGCGAACTCTATTTGAAAATTCAAAAAGTGCTCTCCTGATTTTCTTTCCAATGAACTTTCCAATGAAAAGTACAAAAATATTATAGCCATTTCAATAGCAAACTTTTGTGATTTTTTTTGTGTGGCGCCAGAACTCCGTAATCAGGGGGAGAAAATATTCGAAACGTTACACGATTCGTCGACGTCAGCTGATAAGAAAACTCCTTCGTTATCTCTCGTGCACTAAAATGTTTTTACTTTTCGGAGAATTCAGTTGTTGCACTTCTTTTTTGATTCTCCATATATGACCTACTCTTCCCTCTGCTCAATTTCCAATTCAATGTTTTTTTGTTCATTTTTTGTTACTCTCTCACTCTTTTTCGTTCTTCACCTCTTCTGCCGCGTTATCATCATTTATATATCGGTTTACACTTTTTTTTGTGTTTCGGCAATCAATGACTCTCGGGCCACAATTCGCAATCGATACGTTTATTTATCGCGCCAGTCTTCTTTTTTCCAATCGTCCCCTCTCCTATCTTTTTTTGCTGTCTGATTGTGATTGAAAATGAATGACTGTTTCGACATTCGATTTTTAACTTTTTTTTTGGTAATTGTGTTCTCGACCTTTCTAGAAGTTTGCTTTCAAAACTTTGGATTGACATATTCCGGAAGGATCTTCCGCTAACATCGGAGATCAGAACAATTACCTAGTTGAAATAGGCTTTTTTGCTCTTTTTTTAATTTGTTACGATGATGGTCTTTCTCAAAGTTAGTATCGTTCCGAAGATAAATAAATAAATGCGTCTCTTTCTCTCCGTACGATTTTCGAAAAGCTTGAAAATTAAATACCAAGAAGGGACCGTAAAACATGTAATAGAAGGTTCCCTAAGTTCTAACTTCGAGCCAATTTGTCTCGGTTCCTGTCAAAGATATGAAAAAATTGTCAACTGATAAACTGTTTATCATAATACCAGAAGTGTTTTGTCACTTAACACATTTGTGATATCTTGCATAGGAATTGAGATAAGTAAGCTCAAACGTGAAAGTATTGGAAACCTTCTATTAAACTATTCATGGTACCCGAAAACGCGCCAAAGGCGCACCAGACAGGCTTGTTCAAATAACTTTGAAGTCATGCTTTCTCAAAAAATTTTATTTGTTTGCTTTTGATGTTCACTGTTCGATCATACTCAACTAATCCACTCTTATACCTACTCCCTGTAGATTCACCAAAACTACTGTAACATTCAGATTATTCTCTAGAAAACCTCCTATTGCACTTTTTAAAGTTCTAAACCCGCAATATCATCCATTGATAAGAATCGTCTTGACCCCGAACGTTTTTGAAAGACGTTAGTGAATATCCACCCAGAAAACACGTTATGACTTTTTTTCATCTTGCAAAACGAATAGGCACTGTTCGCCTGCAATCTCTGTCTGTGTCTTCCAAAAACTTGAGGAAAAGAATGATGATCAAAGACGACGATAATCCAAAAAAGTAACACCATCCTCCCCCACATCATTAATTTGTCTCTTTTCTTTAAAATTATTTCTCTCTCGTTTTCTGTGGCAGATGGTGAAGAAGAAGAGAAATGGCGTTAGAAATTCAGAATCCTCAATTTGTCACGTACGCTCTTTTGACCTACACACCATCTGATCCAGGTGTTCTTTGTGCTCCAAAAAGAGGGGTTCCATCTCCTTTTTTGACAAGGAGCTAACTCAATAATTTCAAGCCACACCTCTTCTTCTTATTCACCGTTTTTTCCTCTTATTTTTGTTGCTTTCTGATTTTGAGTCTCCCATCCAGTCGACTCAATCCTTTTTTTTTTCTTGTATCAAAAAAGCCACTACCCACATAGACGAAAATTAATTACCATCTTTGTCATTTTTTCAAAACACCCAAACTCATTACAATGCTAATCCAATGTATCCTTTCGATAAAAGAAAAAGAAGAATCCACGTTGTATTTGAGCATCTGTTGTCGAACGACACAAACCTTCGAAACGATATTTGCCCTTGCTCGTACAACAATATTTTCATGTTTCCGGTCTGTTCTTTGTCCCTAATGATCATTTGATACATATCATCCGGCTGCAAAACTTTCATATTTCGATTTGTTTTCTTTCTTTCAGAAATACTAAAATCCTTTGAGTGACATGACATCTAATTAAATCTGCTGCTTTTCCAAAAAATAGTTTAGTTTATTCTTTGTCTGTGAGTGGAGTTTAAATGTAAACTATGAAGCAGACTCTATACATATACCTGACTGGTTTTGCAGCTGCTCTGATTCATTTCTCTTATTTTACACATGTTTGAATTTTTTCTATAGGGACATGATGTTAAAATTTCAAGAAGCCATAGTTTCGTTTTGAACAAAGTTGATCGATGATTGTGATTCAGGAAAAACGCAACGTACGGTGAAACCTGTAGTAGAAGGTCTCCTAAATTTTAACTTGTCAGTCAATTTTTCTCGGTTCCTGTGAAAGATATTTAAAAGTTGTCCACATATAAATTATCTTCCTTATTAAAAAACGCTAGAGGCGTCTGAGTGAACACTATTTTGATATCTTGCATAGAAATTGAGACAATCAATCAGAAACTTTACAGTGTGGGTGCCTTTTTATTACAGGTTTTATGGTACTTTATTTCCATTTTCTGTCATTCTGAGGACATAATTACCCAGAAGCTTCCTAGGGGATACATTTGGTGATTCCTCAAATGAAACATTGCACTTTTAAAAGTGCAGCCACCCATCTGATACTCTACCACCTATCACTTTTTTATTTTTCATTTTTCCCCATCTAAATCTTATCAGTAAGTGGTCCTCTATCTCTTCCTTCTCTTATCTTCTCACTCCCCCAATTTAAAATTTCTCTTAGGTCTTCTCCGTCATCAACAACTGATTTTCGTCACATCTTTCCGAGTGTTTATAAACTTTCAACAGCAGATTGTGCATCTTTTTGGGACCTTCGTACCCTCTTTTTCCTTTTTCTTTTTTTTTTCGTCTTCGATAAACTCATAAGAAGAGTGCAAAACACATTCACGTGAGAGCAACAAGCTCAGCGGACCTTTTTTCTTCTTTTCTTCTTCTTCTTTCGGGCATCCAATCTGATTACCTTCTCCTCTTTTTTGTCGGTTTTTCTTTCAAATCCAATTC